AGGGAAAGCTGGAATTGAGTGTTGTGGTAATTGCTCAAAACGTTTAGTAATAAGGGGCCTAAAAAGGGGTTTAAAATAAGCATTTTTTAGTTTCTAGACAATAACTTGTGTTCAAGTGTATGGATCTCTCTAAAATTGTATTACAAGGTACCATACCACAAAGGCAAGGCTGTTATTGAGCTTGGTTTGGGGGGAAAGGGGGGGTGGGGGTGATGAATCATAAGGGGGGCGGGGGTCAAAAAAGGGGTAATTTTTTTTTTTCCTTTTTTTTTTGTTTAAAATTTACATTTTAAGTTAGTTATTTTTTATCACGAAGAGAAAGTAGGAATTGAGTTTTGGGGTTAATTGCTCAAACATTTATGAATAAGGGGCCAAATATTGGTCAAAAATAAGGATTTTTTTAGTTTGCAACAAAAACTTGTGTTCAAGTGTATGGATCTCTGTGAAATTGTATTGCAATGTACCATACCACAAATTGAAGGTTGTGATTGAGGTGGGGGATGATGAATCAAAAGGGGGTTGAAAAAATGTGTGGGAGGTAGGATTTTTTTTTTTCCTCTTTTTTTCTTTAAAATTTTCCATTTAAAGATGGTTGTTTCAGATTTATATATGAAAGAAAATAATAATGATACGGTTATATATCATGAGGAATTGAAATTTAAAATTATGTATATTGGAAATTTAGGTTACATTGGAAAGTAATAATTGGCTTTGGGGGGGGGGGGGGGGGGGGGGTGGTTATGGCTCTAATGTTTAAGGAATAAGGGGAAAAAAGGTTAAAAAACAAGGGTTTCCATTTTAATAGACAAATAATTGAGTAAAGAACATTATTTAAAAGCAGTGTAAGGTTGGTAATTCAAACTCATTTAAATATCTCATCTACACTGCTTTTAAATTATGTAAATTGGAAATTTGCCAATAACTTTATTGTTAATAAATGCATTGGAAATTTGCCAACAATTTTAGTGTAATAAACTTCATTGGAAATTTGCCAATATAAAATTTTGCTGATGAAGGTTTTTTGTTTACCTTTAGCCTTGACTATGAAGTCATTTTCTATTTTTATAGCCTTATGATGTAGTTGAATTATTTAATACTTTTATGATGTGTTTAAATGGGGTTTTATCATGTTTATGGTTGCAAATTTATTGTTTTAGTATAATAAACTCCATTTAAAATTTGCCAATAAAAAAAAATTTTGTTTATTTTTAGCTATGATTATGATGTCATTTTCTATTTTACTTTTATGGTTGCAAAGAAATTTTTATTTTTAGATATTACTGTTAAATGATGCTGATTAAGGTTTTTGCTATGTTTAGCCATGACTATGATGTCATTTTCTATTTTAATATCTGTTATGATGTATTTAAATGGGCTTTTATGGTTACAAAGGAATTTTATTTTTAGATATTACTATAAAATGTTGCTGATGCTGATTAAGGATTTTGTTTATTTTTAGCCATGACTATGATGTCATTTTCTATTTTAATACCTTTATGATGTAATTTCCATTTTTATACGACCGCAAAAATTGAAAATTTTTTGGTCGTATATTGGTATGACGTTGGCGTCGTCGTCGTCGTCGTCGTCGTTGTCGTCGTCGTCGTCGTCGTCGTCTGGCGTCGTCCGGCGTCGTCCGAAGACACATTGGTTTTCGCACTCTAACTTTAGTTTAAGTGAATGGATCTCCATGAAATTTTACCATAAGGTTCAATACCACGAAAGGAAGGTTGGGATTGATTTTGGGGGTTATGGTACCAACAGTTAAGGAATTAGGGGCCAAAAAGGGGCCAAAAATAAGCATTTTTGTAACTTCCAGACAATAACTTGTGTGTAAGTGTATGGATCTCTCTGACATTGTACCACAAGGTTCCATATCACAAAGGGAAGGCTGTAATTGATTTTGGGGATAATTGCCTCAAAATTTTAGGAATTAGGGGCCAAAAAAGGGGGAAAAAACAAGCATTTTTCTAGTTTCATGACAATAACTTGTGTGTAAGTGTTTGGATGTTTCTGAAATTGTACTACAAGGTTCCATATCACAAAGGGAAAGCTGGAATTGAGTTTGGGGGTAATTGCCTGAAACGTTTAGGAATTGGGGGCCAAAAAGGGGCCAAAAATAAGCATTTTTCTAGTTTCCAGACAATAACTTGTGTTCAAGTGTATGGATCTCTCTGAAATTGTACTGCAAGGTACCATACCACAAAGGGAAGGCTGGGATTGAGTTTGGGGGTGATGAATCATAAGGGGGTTCAAAAAATTTGGGTGGGGGGGGGTTTTCTTTTTTTTTCTTTTTTTCCTTTTTTTTTTTCTTTTAAAATTTTCCATTTTAAGTTGGTTATTTCTGATTAATATTTAAAAGCAAATAATAATGATATGGTAGGAGATACACACCAAACAGGATGTGTAAATTATTATATAATAAGTATTGTGCAATAGCAAGAAATTTTCAATTGCACAGTATTGCACAATTGCAAGAAATCTTCAATTGCACAGTATTGCGCAATAGCAAGAAATCTTCAATTGCACAGTATTGCGCAATAGCAAGAAATATCCAATAGCACAATATTGCGCAATAGCAAGAAATTGTCAATTGTACAGTATTGCACAATAGCAAGAAATATTCAATTGCACAGTATTGTGCAAAAGAAGATACTTCGTATAAATTGCTTATTTCTTGATCAATTTCAATGGGGTTTTATTCTTGAATTCTTGGGGTTCTTTAATATGCTGAATCTAACCGTGTATTTAGTTTTTTGATTTTGGGCCCCGTTTTTAAATTGGTCCACATTGAGGTCCAAAGGGTCCAAAATTTAACTTTGTTTGATTTCATATAAAATTGAATTATTGGAGTTCTTTGATATGCCGAATCTAACCGTGTATTTAGATTCTTAATTTTTGGTTCCGTTTTCAAATTGGTCTACATTAAGGTCAAAAGGGTCCAAAATTAAACTTAGTTTGATTTTAACAAAAATTGAATTTTTAGGGTTCTTTGATATGCTGAATCTAAACATGTATTTAGATTTTTGATTATGGGCCCAGTTTTCAAGTTGGTCCAAATCGGGGTCCAAAATTAAACTTTGTTTGATTTCAACAAAAATTGAATATATGGGGTTCTTTGATATGCTGAATCTAACCATGTATTTAGATTTTTGATTTTTGGGCCCCGTTATCAACTTTGTCCACATTGAGGTCAAAAGGGTCCAAAATTAAACTTTGTTTGATTTCATCAAAAATTGAATATATGGGGTTCTTTGATATGCTGAATCTAAACATGTATTTAGATTTTAGATTCTTGGCCCAGTTTTCAAGTTGGTCCAAATTGGGGTCCAAATTTAAACTTTGTTTGATTTCAACAAAAATTGAATATATGGGGTTCTTTGATATGCTGAATCTAACCATGTATTTAGATTTTTGATTTTTGGGCCCCGTTATCAACTTTGTCCACATTGAGGTCAAAAGGGTCCAAAATTAAACTTTGTTTGATTTCATCAAAAATTGAATTCTCTGGGTTCTTTGATATGCTGAATCTAACCATGTATTTTGATTTTTTATTTGTGGACCTGCTATCAAATTGGTTCATATTGAGGTCAAAAGGGTCCAAAAATTAAACTTTGTTTGATTTCATCAAAAATTGAATTATTGGGGTTCTTTGATATGCCAAATCTAACCGTGTATTTAGATTTTTAATTTTGGGTCCCGTTTTTAAATTAATCTACATTAAGGTCCAAAGGGTCCAAAATTAAACTTAGTTTGATTTTAACAGAAATTGAATTCTTGGGGTTCTTTGATATGCTGAATCTAAACATGTGTTAAGAATTTTGATTATGGGCCCAGTTTTCAAGTTGGTCCAAGTTGGGGTCCAAAATTAAACTTTGTTTGATTTCAACAAAAATTGAATATATGGGGTTCTTTGATATGCTGAATCTAAACATGTATTTAGATTTTAGATTTTTGGCCCAGTTTTCAAGTTGGTCCAAATTGGGGTCCAAAATTAAACTTTGTTTGATTTCAACAAAAATTGAATATATGGGGTTCTTTGATATGCTGAATCTTACCATGTATTTAGATTTTTTATTTGTGGGCCCGCTATCAAATTGGTTCATATTGAGGTCAAATGGGTCCAAAATTAAACTTTGTTTGATTTCATCAAAAATTTAATTATTGGGGTTCTTTGATATGCCAAATCTAACCGTGTATTTAGATTTTTAATTTTGGGTCCCATTTTTTAAATTGGTCTACATTAAGGTCCAAAGGGTCCAAAATTAAACTTAGTTTGATTTTAACAAAAATTGAATTTATGGGGTTCTTTGATATGCTGAATCTAAACATGTGTTTAGATTTTTGATTATGGGACCAGTTTTCAAGTTGGTCCAAGTTGGGTTCCAAAATTAAACTTTGTTTGATTTCAACAAAAATTGAATATATGGGGTTCTTTGATATGCTGAATCTAAACATGTATTTAGATTTTAGATTTTTGGCCCAGTTTTCAAGTTGGTCCAAAATTAAACTTTGTTTGATTTCAACAAAAATTGAATATATGGGGTTCTTTGATATGCTGAATCTTACCATGTATTTAGATTTTTTATTTTGTAGGCCCGTTATCAAATTGGTTCATATTGTGGTCAAAAGGGTCCAAAATTAAACTTTGTTTGATTTCATCAAAAATTGAATTATTGGGGTTCTTTGATATGCCAAATCTAACCGTGTTTTTAGATTTTTAATTTTGGGTCCCGTTTTTTAAATTGGTCTACATTAAGGTCCAAAGGGTCCAAAATTAAACTTAGTTTGATTTTAACAAAAATTGAATTCTTGGGGTACTTTGATATGCTGAATCTAAACGTGTTTAGATTTTTGATTATGGGACCAGTTTTCAAGTTTGTCCAAGTTGGGGTCCAAAATTAAACTTTGTTTGATTTCAACAAAAATTGAATATATGGGGTTCTTTGATATGCTGAATCTAACCATGTATTTTGATTTTGGACATTGGACCATAATAGGTAAATTAAAAAAATTGAAGTTCTTAGACCACATTCTTTCTGTGTCAGAAACCTATGCTGTGTCAAATATTTAATCACAATCCAAATTCAGAGCTGTATCAAGCTTGAATTTTGTGTCCATACTTGCCCCAACTGTTCAGGGTTCGACCTCTGCGGTCGTATCAAGCTGCGCCCAGCGAAGCATTTTATTAGATATTACTGTTAAATGATGCTGATTAAGGGTTTTTTGCTATGTTTAGCCATGACTATGATGTCATTTTCTATTTTAATATCTTTATGATGTATTTAAATGGGCTTTTATGGTTACAAAGGAATTTTATTTTTAGATATTACTTTAAATGTTGCTGATTAAGGATTTTTGTTTATTTTTAGCCATGACTATGATGTCACTTTCTATTTTAATACCTTTATGATGTATTTAAATGGGCTCCCATGTATTTAGATTTTTGATTATTTATACATGTTACCAAATTGGTCCACATTGAACAAAAACGGTCCAAATTTCAACTTTATTACATTACATCAAACATTGAATTCTACATATTCTTTGATATATTGAAATTAACAAACAATTTAGTTTATGGATATTCCACCATAATAGGTAAATTAAATTTTTTCCAGTTCTTACACCACATTCATCCTGTGTCAGAAACCTATGCTGTGTCAAATATTTAATGACAATCCAAAGTCATAGCTGTATCAAGCTTGAATTTTGTGTCCATACTTGCCCCAACTGTTCAGGGTTCGACCTCTGCGGTCGTATCAAGCTGCGCCCCAGCGAAGCATTTTATTTAAATTGGTCTTCATTGAGGTCCAAAGGGTCCAAAATTAAACTTAGTTTGATTTTAACAAAAATTGAATTCTTGGGGTTCTTTGATATGCTGAATCTAAACATGTGTTTAGATTTTTGATTATGGGCCCAGTTTTCAAGTTGGTCCAAGTTGGGGTCCAAAATTAAACTTTTTTTGATTTCAACAAAAATTGAATATATGGGGTTCTTTGATATGCTGAATCTAACCATGAATTTAGATTTTTTATTTGTGGGCCCCGCTATCAAATTGGTTCATATTGAGGTCAAAAGGGTCCAAAATTAAACTTTGTTTGATTTCATCAAAAATTGAATTATTGGGGTTCTTTGATATTCCAAATCTAACCATGTATTTAGATTTTTAATTTTAAGTCCCGTTTTTTAAATTGGTCTACATTAAGGTCCAAAGGGTCCAAAATTAAACTTAGTTTGATTTTAGCAAAAATTGAATTCTTGGGGTTCTTTGATATGCTGAATCTAAACATGTGTTTAGATTTTTGATTATGGGCCCAGTTTTCAAGTTTGTCCAAGTTGGGGTCCAAAATTAAACTTTGTTTGATTTCAACAAAAATTGAATATATGGGGTTCTTTGATATGCTGAATCTAACCATGTATTTTGATTTTGGACATTGGACCATAATAGGTAAATTAAAAAAATTCAAGTACTTAGACCACATTCTTTCTGTGTCAGAAACCTATGCTGTGTCAAATATTTAATAACAATCCAAATTCAGGGCTGTATCAAGCTTGAATGTTGTGTCCATACTTGCCCCAACTGTTCAGGGTTCGACCTCTGCGGTCGTATCAAGCTGCGCCCCAGCGAAGCATTTTATTATAAAATATTTTAAAATCTTATTGAATGACATTATGATTGTTTCATGAATAGTTAAAAGCAGTGCAATGCATACAGAATCTTGATTTAATAATTTAAATTGGTATGTCAATGTGTTGTTTACTATTAAAATTACTCTTATTCAGGTTTTTTGATATGAAGAAGTTAGCAGCTAAAAAAGAACAGAAGACCATTGAGGCCTCTGGCATGGTAGGTTTATGAAGGAAAAAAAATTAAACTGTATATTACCATACATGTTATTGGAGAAGTTCCCCCAGAACTTATCCTTTGATAAAGGTTTGTCTTGATAAACATTTTTGGGTCTACAGATTATTTTGTTATTAGTGTCATCGGGTTGCTGTCTCATTGAAGTATACCCTACATCTCCTTTTATTGATATCTTTATTTCTGTCTGTGAGGATTTATTGTTGTATACTCAGTTTGACTGTCTTCTTATTTTACTGTGACTTGACTGAAGCTGTTGCTCTCCACCTATTGCAGTTAGTAGTAGTATTTTGATAATATCAATGAAGTGCAGTTTAAGACTAAAAGGATTTTAAGTATGCTTTATTTTATCACCTTGCATCTTCATGACTTTGACTCTGGTTTTCTACAGCAGTAAGTTAAAATTTCTGACCAGTTGAACAGTTTGGTTTGATAAAACAAATTGCTATTTGGTCAGAATTTTTAATAAATTGCAAAAGTGGAGAGCAACACTTACAGTCAAGTCACAGTAAATCAATTTATCAAGTTTTACATTAGCTTCAGAACTGTAGCTGATAGGTCCTTATGATATTTTTTGACAATTTGCGGACCATAGAGCTACAGATTGCACGGGTGATACATATTAAAAATTTGGGAAATATGTGCGACCTGAACCTGGGTCACAATTCTGAACGTTTTGAAATAGGAAATATCCGTAGCTCTATGGTCTGCAAATGGTCAAAAAATATCATAAGGACCTATGAGCTACGGATTCACAGCTAGTTTAACCTCTGATTTGATAAAACTAATGCTGAAGCAGGACATCTGTTTGGTTTTGCAAAAACATATAAGTTGTTGTATCAGTACTAATTCTGAAATGTACCAAACTAACAACTATGTTGTAATGGGGAAATAATTATTTGAAAACAATTAACGGATGCCATGTATCCATTTAAAGGTATATTTTTTTCCTATGCTAATAAGATGTGATTCATCAAAAAGGTAAATTCTGAGAAGACTATATACTGTTTGTACTAACTATTAAAAGAGCAGAATTTTGCAGATGTTTAACTTTATTTTAACAGGCATTAAAATCAGCAGAGAGGAAAACAAAGGAGACCTTGAAAGAGGTTGCCATGGCAGCAACTATCAACAAAACAAGGAAGACATATTGGTAAGTTCGATTTGGTTTATCTTGTTGTCTAAAAGTCTTGTCATTTATAAACAACAACTACGCTTGCGCATCATTTGTTGATTATTTATTTAAATCCAAACTCTTACAAAAAGTTACACACTTTCATTTGAAAAAATGGTTAATTTTTTTTTTACTATTTTTTTTTATGATGACAAATTTTCACAGATGAGCAGGCTTCTGAGAGGGTCTATCGGTATCCAGATGATAAATAGAGAACTGTTTTTGAAATCAATTGAAATTTTAATGGAATGTTTTGGACCACTAAACAAAATCGTGATCTCTCAGTTGCTGCAGGCGGCAGTATCTGTGAGCGCTTAGATCACCTCTCAAGTAGATTATCCTATTCCTTGGTTAAATTTTATCTGAGGCCAAAAGGTATTTGAACAGTGGCTAAAAATCACTTTAAATGTATAACTTAAACCACATGAGTTTTTTTTAAACTTTAATCATTAGTGATGGTATTTACCCACAGTTTAACCAGTAACCAAGAATTAAACTGAGTCCAGATAGAAGCTTTTCCCAAGATGTTTGTAGCAAAATAATATGCATATTGACACAACTTATTTATTTCTTAGGTTTGAGAAGTTTTTATGGTTTATTACATCTGAAAACTTCTTGTGCGTTGGAGGTCGTGACCAGCAACAGAATGAAATGATAGTGAAGAAATATCTTAAGCAAGGTATTTGAAAACACTCTAGTTTTACTATGTTTTATTATATATAGATATTTTATGGAAAGCTACAATTTTGTGTGTGAGAGACAGATCATGTGATATAAGATGAAAATCGCATGACCTATATTTCATTTTTCTCCAGCTGTAAACTTCAATGTCAAAAAACAGATTTAAGTTAGAGACATTCAATCATGGAGTTATGGCCAAAACCATTTAGGAATAAAGGGCCACAATACAAGGATTTTTCTGGTTTCTGGTCAATAACTTGAGTATAAGTCTATGAATCTCTATGAAATTTTACCACAAGGATCCATACCAAAAAAGGAAGGTTGGGATTGATTTTGGGGTTATGGCCATAACTGTTCAGGAATTAGGGGCCAAAAACAATACTTTTCTAATACTTTGTATTAACTGCTTATTTCTTGAAAGTCTTGAATTTTTGAGGTTCTTTATTTATGCTAAATCTAAACATGTATAGATTTTTGGATTTTGTGCCCCATTTTAAATTGGTCCACATTGATGTCAAAAATTAAAATTTGTTTGATTTCATCCAAAAATTGAATTCTTGGGGTTCTTTGATATGCTGAATATAACCTTACATTTAGATTTTTTATTTTGGGCCTGGTTTTTAAATTGGTCTGCATTAAGGTCCAAAGGGTCCAAAATTAAACTTACTTGATTTTATCAAAAATTAAATTCTTTTGGTTTCTTTGATATGCTGAATCTAAACATGTATTTAGATTTTTGATTTTTGGCCCTGTTTTCAAGTTGGTTCAAATCGGGGTCCAAAATTAAACTTTTTGTTTGATTTCATCAAAAATATAATGCTTGGGGTTCTTTGATATGCTGAATCTAACCATGTATTTAGATTTTGGACATAATTGGTATATGTCCAATTTCAAATTTTTAAGTTCTTAGACCACATTCATTCAATGTTAGAAACCTATTATGTGTCAAATATTTTGATCCAAATTCAAAGCTGTATCAAGCTACACCCTGCTAAATTCACTTGTCAGACTCTTATGACCAACAATGAAACTTACTGTATGGATGGATCTGTAGGATAAAAGTTGACTTCCAACAAAAAAAGGTATCCCTGATGCACATTTCAGGATTCAATGACTATGGTTAAGGTTATTTCTCAAATATTATTACTCTGCAATGATGTTAATAGATGGATGCACTAAATGCAATATTTTTATCTACATTTTATTCCTTTAAACCTTAAAACTAAATTTTACTTCCAAGACAGTGTTATATACTTTATTAGGTTTAAGAGACAATTGGAGGACCAAGACAATCTTTGTAATACAATGTATTGTATAATGTTTGGTTTTTGGATGATCAAGACAATCTTTATTGGAGTATGTATGTTATAATGGTACATTTATATCCATAGGTGATTTATATGTGCATGCTGATCTTCATGGAGCTTCCAGTATTGTCATAAAGAACCATACCAGTAAGTAACAGTAGCTTAGGCCATGTAAAATAGATTTTCTGGTTCTCAGATACTGACTTCTGACAAATTTAAGGGAGGGAAGGTATTTAATTTTTGTATTATATAATTTTGTTGACATTGACTCTGCATGTATTCTTCTGTTGAAGGAATTGAAAAATACCAAAGGGCAATACAAATTGTGGCAACACTGTGTCAATATAGAGAAAGGCAAACAAGACCACAAAATATTACATAGAAAACTAAAGACTGAGCAACATGAGAAACCTAACAAAAACAGGGTGTGTGTGTGGTATTTTGTCTTGCCTGCGACGAAAGTCGCTGAAAGTGAGACGTAGGGTTTGCATTTCCGGCTCCAGCTCCGACGTCAACAACTACTTGTGATGGATCATTGATATTTAATATAAAGTTGCATTTCTATCAGTACATATCAGTTTGAAAACTATTTTGAGGCCCTGCCCCCTAGGACATGGTCCAGTGACTTCAAATTAATTAGCAGTTTTAGCTCACCTAGCCCAAAGGGTTAAGTGAGCTTTTCTCATCACTTGGCGTCCGTCGTCGTCCGTTAACTTTTACAAAAATCTTATCCTCTGAAACTAATCGGCCAAATTTAACCAAACTTGGCCACAATCATCATTGGGGTATCTAGTTTAAAAAATGTGTCTGGTGACCCGGTCAACCAACCAAGATGGCCGCCATGGCTAAA